TTTTATCTTGACATCAAGTTGTTAAATGTTGACTTTCTTGTAATGATCTACAAAGTAAATTTACTGAAATTACAGCTCACTGCAGGCATCACATGACTGCTGCAGGCGTCACATGAACACTGCAGGTATTTACAAGACTTAGCTGTTGATGCTCTAACAAGCTTGTGAGCATTATGAATTTATATCTACATGTATCTTTGCGTTAATATCTTCTTTTTTTATAATCTTTCTGTATACTTCATTGTCACAATAATTTGAAAACCTCCCCAAAAAAAAGCAAGGAAAAATTCTGATAAATGTTTGAGTATTACTAAACACATTTTTGTCATGCAGATTATTATTGAGAAAAACATTTTTCTGGTGATAGACATAGAAAAATTTTATTCGTTAAATAATACATTAACAAACAAAGATAATAGAATTATCATATAAAGAGTTTTTTTTTAAATTAATCTTTAACTTTATTATAACTCTGACAAGTTTGTACAAATATTTATGTCCATGATCTTCATTTCTGAAAGTTTTCAGAAATTTGGACTAATTGATTCTATGAAATGTATCTAGTAGGGATACCATTTTCACTATTGATATATCAGTATCATTCCATTTAATTGGCAGGGAGCAATTAATGGCAGCAACATTTGAAAACAATTTCTGTAATTCCAAACCATCATTAAAATGAAAACATAGTAAGGTAAGACAAAGTCACACTAGATGGAGGAAAGGTGAGACCTACCAGAAGCTGTGCTATGTTTATATAGACATGATATCCTTTATTGACATAATAAATTAGGAGATAATTGTTACAGGACAGCTATTTCAGTATCTGGACAATATCTTCATTTATTCTCAGTACATGTCAATGTCAGATCGTGTTCTCTGGGGGATAGAAGGTAAAACTGACCGCTGGTGTTCTATGTGATGATGAGGTATAACTGACCATTGGTGTTAGAATGCTGTTATGTTTCCTGAAGTTGGTTCTATTTCCTGTGATTTATGTATTTGAGCTACAGCTTTTGACAAACAACTATTTCCACAAGTCTGAATCACGCTTTTACACATACAAGAGTGAAAATCATGTCTCCAGATGAAATTCTTAAAACATTAAACTAAAGAAAAATATATTAATAACTTAATAAACCTATAAATATTCACAATTTAAATGCTATTTGGCATGCATTACATGGATGTAAAATGAGACATCATAATATATAGTATTTTTTATCACCATTATTCCTAACTCCCAATATGATCATTACATACATAACTTATTTTGGTATATTATTGGTAACTTCTGTGGAAAGTCAGTGCCTTATATTAATATCATTTACTTTATACATTTGAGGACATTTTTTGGAATTTGTTTTTAAATTTCCATGAAAAATCACAAGAATCTTGGGGGCATGCTATTAAAAGTGTCATACGGTCAAATTTTATGATTTTTAAAAGCTAAAAATTATTTCAAAATTAAAGTGATGCTGTACTGATAGCTTTCCATCTGAGAACAACCTGTTTTCCAAGATGTTTTAAATCATTTCTTTCATCTGGTTAAATTAGAGCCCTCTCCAGCTGCGAGTTAGATGGACAGTTACTGACCAGTGTGGTGTCAGAAGTGACCGGAGGTCAGGAAGGTGTGACCAATACATTAGTTCCCCTTGTCCGGAGTAGGAAGATTTAATGAAAATGAATGCTGTCTTGACGAGGGTACACCATATTGCCTTTTACAGGTGTGACTAAATGAGAGTTGATAATTAAACAAGTTCATCTGGGTGGAAGGAATGAATTATTTTTGCACATCATTAATAACATGATGACCTACAGATAAAATATACATAGCTTTATACCTTACTCTTAAACCCTACCATGTTAAATAAATATCTTACACAGACTTTTCCATCTCCCAATCTGGACAAAACCATTCATAATCTTTAGATATAGTACTGACTGGATAGCACACAGTGCACTGGAATATGGTGGCCGATTTCTGCCATTTCCCTGTATGCAGTTTTTTTTTTCCAAGAAAAAAAAATCTGGTGTCTTCACCTATTGAAATATTGTTATTTCACCTAAAATATATTTGTCTTTATGTTGGTGCCCTAAAAAGTCAAAGGCAAAGACACTCCAAGTGAGCATATTATCTTGTCTTTGCCTTTGAGGGGCATGAAATTGCAGAAATCAACCACGATACTGGAATCCTCAGCAGGCTACGAGGTCCTTGACTTTTAAGTCAGTCCTTCTAAAGTTAAAAAGTTAAGTAACCCATCTCTTTAAGTGAGAAAGAAATTTCTAAATATATTTATTCATTAAACAATTTATATTATATTAAAAAAGATTTTAATTACTTAATTAATAGTGTCATTTGCACAAAGTACTGAAACAAAGTATAAAGAATCAAATTTCTAACTTTATTATCTACATTTCTTCAATCAACTTGTGTCAATAAAATCAATTTGGTTACTTTGAAAATGTAAATCTATGGCTAGATTTTTTACTTCATATGTCCTGGAATATTGAGGTATATATTTCAAAATCTTACATCTATTTCTGGTTTGGGATAAGATTTTTTTTTTAAAACCTTGAAACCAATAAATTTACCTTGTGTCATTTCAAACAGCTATAGTGAAGTTTGGATGTCCACTATTCAATACATACAAATGACAAATTAGGACCCATATAGTGCACATTTTTAAGCGACATTGTCAAGACGACATCTAAAGGTTAAATGAAATTAAAACTGTCTAAAGTGAAGGCGAGCATATTAGTTTCCACCTGTCACATAACATGCTTGCCACCACAAATCACCATCTCATGCTGATACAACCTATTAACCCAATCTCAAATAGTAACAAGTAGAGATTTTGATGCTAAAGCATCAAGTCGCGGGATAGAAAAATGATTGTATTATCATAAATATAAGAAAATATAAGTTTAATGGTTCAAGTATAAAAATAAGAGGAACAATGAGTTGAGTAATGTTTGCCACTGAGGCTTGTAAGGCAAGTGCTATGCTGGTAATTCTTCTTGTAATTTTACTTTATACATATACTGTTGTACCATACATTGAAATCCGTATAGGTTACTAGTTCAGATTCAGATAATTACCGACAAATAATTACCGATCATCGAATATTTGCAAAGTGACGATGAAAATATATATGTTTAATTATTACATGAAACAATACAATTTTATTGTAAAAGTGTTGTACATCATTATTATGTGCTATAGAAAAAATATATAATTTAGTTGAAATCAATACACGTATTCCAATCGTTACATACGATATTTAAATTAACGTTTAATCGCCTTTCAGTGCGATAAACTATCAACACAAAGATAGTTTATTATTTTTTTCTATGTATCTAATACGATTCCGGACCCCTGACGTCATACCGTTTTGGAAACCTGCGTGACGGAAACCGACGGAATATACCGAAATCAACGATTACCATTATATATTTCAATAATGTGCCTCTTAAGCATAACATTATTTTGGGATGTTCAACCTAAACTAAACAATTGAACTTTCTTGTCGAATGTTTGACAGAAAGGGCCAAGTTAAACCCTTTACCAAGAAGAAAGGAAAAGGTTTTGAAAATGTATTTTTAATGTAAACAGGTTTCTCTAATGATATAAAGTATGAACCTGATTAATGAAAAAATAACTTATGTAATTATCTGTACAAAATTACAATGATTTACATCTTATCAGTTTACCACCATTAACAAGTTACCTGTCTTATCAGCAATCTGTAACTATTAATAGATTTTATAACGATAATACAACATATATAAAACATGTAGTCACGTGATTCTTACGAAAGACCAGGGAGCATTTGTTTATAATTAGATAAAATAATGTAATATAAAAGGTCTCATAAAAAAAAAACAACCAAATAATTCTAAAGTGTCATTTCAAATATCATTCATGATTTATATATTATAAAATAGCAATGCTTGACACACAGAAAAAAGTAAAAGTATCTCATATATTCAATGACTGATCCTTGGGGATACGTTATTGATTCATTTTATGTAAATTGTAATGTTGCTTTTTAAGACGTCAATATGTGCATATTTCATTCCACTGAGCAAAGTTATCATATGTTTGATTTTTTGTGATTACTGAAAAATAATTGTTGTCTTTAATTGTTCAATGATTGATATGCTTTTATTTTCAGATTTTAAGGGCTTCTCCTACCATAGGTATAATATTAAACTATTACAAATATAGTCGCCCGTTTCTACCGGCGACTAATCACTATGCTTTTCACCTTGACACAGGAGAATTTGTCAAAAATGTGCTATCTAGGATTCCTTAATCTCATTCTTTCTTTACCCTTTCTTTATATAATTCTATGACAAAAGACACTTGAATCTGACCAATAGTCATTTCAACATTTGCAATTATAAATCAGAGTAAGCATTTGTATATATGGAAGTATTGTGGGATTTGATCATTTGTTATTATAATACAATGTACTTGATGGTGACATTTTGAAGTGGAAGAGATTTAGTTTAAAATTGACAGAATACAAGTAGATAGAACTTGATCCTTGTTTAGAAAAGCAGTCCAACAATAGGATGATACCAGACTTCACACATGTCAACATGAGTATGACTTATTAGATGCTAGAGAATGACTGGGAGATTATACACTAAACTACAGTAATCTACAAGTGTCTAATTCCCTACTTCACACAATAATGATAATATATACAAGTAGAACTGTAAATATAAACTAGACAAATATGTTTCATACCAAACATTTATTTGTCTACAATTTAAATCATTGGACTGAGTTGATAAAGAATACAACCTCTGTACAGCAACAATGTTTGGGGAAAAAAAAATTTTTTTGTTGTTGCTATGGTGAAGACTTACTTTTGAAAAAATGATTATGTTATGGTAATGAACTTATGGTGATGTTCTACAGAAGGACACTCTGTTTAAGTTGCACTGTACTTTCAAACACCATTTCTATAAAAATAAATTACACATACCTGTATTTTGGAGAACTTGTGGATCAATCACCACTTTTTCACTTTTATCTGATTTGTCTGTATTGCTATTGCCCTCAGAATTATCTCCCTTAACTGATGTCACGCTAGGATATGCCTCGTCTGGTCGCAGTAGTGCAGTCTCTGCTGGTTGACTATGTTCATAAAGTGTTGGCAGATGATTCTTCTGGGCTTGAACCGATGCCAGCCAGCCTGTAAGTCTGTTTTGCTTGTTATAACCATGTGGACCAAGATCACTTGTATGCCTGGTAAGAGTTTTTGTATTTAAATCACCAAGCATTAAGTTTGTTTTCTGTCCAAACTTTGATTCACTCACTGTCTGTCTCAGTTTTTGTCCTGTACCAGATTTCATATTGTTAAAATTTGCAGTATTGCTTGTGCTGTTTTGTGTTATATGATCAGGGAGAAATCCCTCAGTGCCTGCTGGTTTGCCACCTAGACTTACACCAGACAAACATCTTCTCAATGTATGAGTACCATCTTCATTTCTACTGCTGGGGTCTATTTGCATGGCCTGATCTGACCTACCTATGTGTGGTGGTAACGGTGTACTTGTTTGTAAAGGTCTTTCTGGTAGTGGTCCCGTCAACCCAAAACCTTTGTATTCTGTTAAGGTGCATGTCTCTATATCTGAGCTTTTGGCCAGATTATTGCTTGAAGGCTCAACAACAGCTTCTGAAACATTTTCTGAATTCAAACCCGACGTTAATCCTGGTCCCATATATTCTTTAAACTTCTCAACTCTTACACCTTTAAGTTTTTTCTTCTCTCTTTTAGAACCCCTATCCCTTTTCAATGAACCTCCAATTAATTGATTCTCTTTCTTCACATTTTTTTCATTTTTCTTTATTATCAACCTTTCATAACTTTCTGTTCCATTTTCATTTGCAAAGTCTTCATATATATCTGCTTCAGTTTTAGTATCTATTTTCTGAGCAAATTTTACATGTTTCTTTTCATCTGAACCTCTCATAATATTCATATCTCTCATCCTTAGACCTTGACTAGCTTTAACTACTGGTGTTGAAGTACACAGGGGCTCAGACCTGCTCTGTTTTTTAACATGTTCATTTGTTACTGCCTGTGATACAGTACATTGCCCCACCTGTTCGTTTTCAAACATATCATACATACCAGGGTAACCTTGCGGAAGAGGTGTGGAAGCACAAAGAGGATGTGCCATTGTTTGAAGTCTAGACATACTTAATGACACCATTCCTGAATTTACAGGTTGTGAAACAGTCTCTTCACTATTAAAATTATTAGTTTCTTCTCTATGTCTGTCTACTTCTTCCCTTAAATCTTTATCATCGTTAGTTTGTACAACACAGAAATAATTGGATGTATCATCAGCACATTCCTTGCCTTCCCCCAAAGTTCTTTCTAATAAAACACTTTGTTCCGGATTTTGCAAAGATACACTATTTGTTGTTTCACTGCCTGTTTTTTCATGATCTACCTGTAAATCATTGAACTCTGTTGTTTTGTTAATCTCAGACTTCCTAGGTCTTTTTTCTGCACTTTTTACAACAACAACATTGGCATAGATATGTTCACAATGTCTCTCTTCATCTGCACAATCATCATCATCATCATCATGAATAGTATCATCCAGGTTTTCTTCACTAGGTGCCATATTAGTATTGTCATTCAGCAAATCAGGATCTTGTTCATTGTCAATTTTGTCATTTATGTTGACAGTTTGTGACTCGGTATTTTCTGTTACAGTCACAGATGAGCTGTTTAAATCATCTGTACTTTCACTTGTCATACTTGTGTCTAACTCTGTGATCAGATCTGGTTTTACAGTATCTTCAAGCAAACATTCCTGCTCTGTGATTTTTTTCTGTTTTGGCACATTTTCCATACGTCTGATAATAGCACTAACATCTACACTTGAGCATATGGTTTTCACTTCAGTTTTTCGATTTTCAATCAATGCTTCAATCTCTTCCTTACAAGCATTGACCACATCAAGGGATTCCTGTATGTCTGCTGTAGTATCTTGCTCTCTAACAGAAGAATTATTGGAATGTTGAAGATCAGCTTCAACAGATAATAAATCATCCTTACATTCATCATCTGTATGTACAGGAGTCACAGGTTTTATCTCTCCATTACTGGATGCCCTATTACCAACATGAACTAACATTGCTGTTGCATTGTCCACATATGTACCACTAGTAGGATCAGATTCTAAAGTATTCATTGTATGACACCCACTTATTAATCCGACTGGTGCGTTATCATCAATATATGGGAATTCCTCCAGTTTGTCTTCCTCCAAAACATTGTCATGAGTATCTTTTTCTGTGACATCAATGTCTATATTCGTATTTGCTATGGCAGCTTCATATCTGACTGATTCCTCTTCATCTTCTACATTTCCTAGTCTCAGCTTCTTGCATGGACTGATCAAAGTGTTTGCCTCATCCATGTTACATCAGTTTTTCATCATTTGCTCACATAATATTATCAATCTGAAAAAATTGAAACAAAATTGTTATAACTTGTGATTAATTTCCCATGTTCCATTTTTTTTTAAATCATCATAGTTTTTATTCAGGCAACAATTTAGTTTTTATTTCCACATGTACACATGTAAAGAAATCAACGATTCCAATTTAAGTTTTTAATCAGTATTCTTGAAAATTCTACCAAGTTTTCACTTCTTATAGTAAATAATCACCTATATCATAATAAGTATTTTCCAACATTATTTGTAACTACTGAGCAATGTGTATCAAATTCATTAAAATTACTAATGAATTAATTAACACAAATTTGACCCAGATTTGCAAAAAATACCAAACAAGCCCCTGAATGACCCAGGATATCATCAGATTATCATAATTACTGAAACCCTACATCACTTCAAACAGGTACCTGGATCAACAATAGGGCACTAATCTCTCAAACAAAACAAATACTTTACCACTTTAGATTGGTAAATTGACAGGTACTTCTCTTTAAAAACAGTATACAATTACAAATGTACAGTGTTCTGTGTCTAGTTAAAATGAACTTTTGTTTTAATGAATTCAAGTGATAATTCGGAATCATTATTGGGATGAGTTTGTATTTTGAAATGTTAACAAAAGTCAGTGTCTATCAGATTAGAAAATCTGAAACAGTAGCAGGTTTAGTGGATGATTATATAGTCACTGTATATAGGATCAGAGAGAGTATGGTGAATGGAGGAGATTGATAACGTTTCTATAGCAGTGATAACACAATCTGATATTTAAACCTGTAAAAATTCCACTGATATAATAATCCAATTACAACTAACTGGCTTCAACAGTAAAATGCAAAAATGTGTAACAGTTAATCTAATGTTTTGCAGTATTATAATACACTTAATTAAATCAACATAATTTAAATTCATAAAATCAGTCATAACAGTTAAACATGCACCTTGTCTTTATTATATAATTAACTACTGAATTGCATTATTAGTCAATGAATTGCAGATTTTTGTATTTGTAATGTACAAGAATGTACATGTATATGTTGCATAAAACAGTAAATGGAATTACCAAAATAGAATTATCTACACAAATGAACTTGATTTTATTTAAAATATATTTGAAACAATAATAGATTATTAACAAAAAAAGCTAAAACATGTAATTTTCTGACAAGTTTCAAATATAATGCTAATTTGGGAATGTTTATCTGACTTTAACATGTAACTTTTGTAATTTTTAAGTTATGCCACAGCCTGTTGTTAAGATTGATATATCTTTGGAAAGAAATAAAATTTCTCAATCTTTCCCATGGAGTTTTCACAGTAATTTGATGTGTTTGTTTCATGACCTGGAAAAATGTGGAGTGCAAAATAAAAATGTGAGATGGCCATCAGATGGGGATATTGAAGGACATAATACAAACTGCAATTAGGCTACTTATTTGTTCTTGCCTGAAACTACAAAATTCCTAAAATCACATGCAAGCTTTCGTGAGACTGACGTGTTAACAATACCGAAGACGTTTTTTTCAGAATTCTATCCGTCCACTCGATCAATTTAAATAAAATAAAACTGATCACTCTGGAATAAAACTTTTGAAAAGTTTTGTTTGGTCATGAAATGTTGCTTGTGGGCATTGTATTCAAAATAAGGTAACGAGGAAATCTGACCACTGACACTTCGGTTAACGTCAAGCCAAAGGGCCCAGATCCCAGATAAAGGGTAGCGATAAAACCGATTGAATAAAATACAAATATTTAACACTTGTGCTTAAGTACAAGGTATTTCACAGTCATAGTTAGGTGTTTTACGACATGCCAACATCTAACAAAAGCGTAATTTTTAACTTATTATCTGATTATAATCATTTGGTCCAATAAACGGGTGATAAAACACCAACTCTCTCACAAGGGGTGGGATTTTTTATGCCTCAGTATATTGCCCATCACTTATCAAATGACGGGTTATTTGTGGTTGGCTTTTGAGGTATAAAGTCCGAATTACAGACAAGACTTGACCTTATCTGATCTTATGGAAGACACAAAACACTGAAGATACTCAATTGCCAAAAGTTTTAAAAGAAGAATAACCAAAAAACTACAAAAATAAAATGAGAAACATAATCTAAGTCATTTCATACTGATAATCTGATTTCAATCAGGAACAGAACAGAACTTTGATCTTTTTACAAAGTTATCATCATCATACGGTAAGCAATATACTAGACAGTGGTCAAAAGTTAGCAAGGCAAAAAACCAGAAAGACCAAACTGTTTTTAAAAAGGCAATTTGTTGAAAGAGAAACAGCACAATGCATGAACAAAGTTGAAAATATACCTTTACTCTTAACTAAATCAATGTCCCATACAATAAAAATAAATAACACTTTGAATTAACCTAAAAGCTCATGATCAAAGGGAAGTTACCACAACAAGCTTTAGCACAAGAGAAATTTGAATTAAATGGAGTCATTAATTTGCTATCACCAGTTAAGAGTAGATGGGTGATCATAGAAAATATTCGGCACAGTTTATAATCAAAGACTTGGCAGCAAATAATGATCTATTTGAAGCCTTCAGGTTTTAATTAAAATACAATACAGAGTTGTACCTGACTCTAATCAGGCAGATTTTTTTTTCTGCAACATTAATTTCAGGACAATCAGTCAGAATATTTTTTCCAATATTTTTGTTAGAATATTGCCATTTGATTGGCAGGCAGAGTATCAGAATTTCACATATATATTGGTAAGTTATTCCATATTCATGGAGTACATCAAGTACTTATTTTTTTAAAAAATAATGATTTCTGGAAGTTTTTGTTTGTTTGTTTTGGGTTTTACGTCACATCGACACAGTATAGGTCATATTGCGACGTTCCAGCTTTACTGGTGGAGGAAGACCTCAGGTGCCCTTCCGTGCATTATTTCAGGCACGAACGGGCACCCGAGTAGAACCACCGACGTTCCATAAGCTAGCTGGATAGCTTCCTCACATGAAAGAATCCAAAGTCCCTGTCGGGATTCGAACCCACAGCGGTGAGGGGCAAGTGGTTTGAAGTCAACAACCTTAACCACTCGGCCACGGGGGAAGAATTCTGATGTTGGTTATAGAGTCTTTCTATAATTTCAAGGTTTGAATAATGATCAGAGAATCTGCCAATATATGGCCAAGATCAGATGAACACAAGCAGGAGCATACATTGTACACATAACCATCATGGCTTTAGCCACATATAGGCCCTAAGCCTCACAGACACTTAAACCTTCAAAAAGTCTATCAAAAAAAATTCTCGTAACTCAACATTATTTGCATGTATAAGGAAAAATGAAGTCTGAAAATGAAGTCTTAATACTTCAAAAGAACATAATTAAATAATACAGTTTACCCGGCACATAAATGGAAATGTAAAGTAAAATAGTAAAAAAAATTTATCTTCAAATGTTCAATTGAAAAAATTTAAATGAAAATAAATTGGTATTAAAAAATGAACTGTTTATGCAGGTTGTCTAGGGGATATGTCTACTGATAAACTTATAAAGTATTAGCTTATTCTTAACAAATTAAGGCAAAATTCTCAAAGTTTTTAATTAAAGGGAAGCAACTCCTACAAGCATAAACATAGCTCAACCAAGGGGAAGCAAATCCTACAAGCTTAAAGCATGGATTGTGTTGGGTTGGCTGGACCAAAAGGTTTATGAGTTAAATAACTGTTCTTTACACTGAAAATTTTGTTATAATCTGTTTAAATGCATTTCAAAGTGACCACTCATTTTGGAAATCATTTTATGTAAATTTTAAACATTAAAACATTTTGCTTATTTCAAGAACTCTGGAGCACAATATTTTCTAAATAATGCGCCTGACTGAACCTTTAATAAGAATTTTAACAGCCTTAGAAATTTTAAAATTTCAATATGCTTTAATAATTCAGACAGTCAAACTAATAGCATAATGTGCTGAGGAAATGTTGACAGATACATCAGAATTTTTTTAGAGAGTGTAGAGAGTGTATTATATCATTAATTAAAAATATACAGCTTATGATTTTTAAATCTCTTGTTTTAAAACAATATGATTTTTTAAAGAAAATGAAGAAGACAGTTAAGACTATTTCAAAGTATATCAATTAATTATATACTGTATAATATGCTAACAAAATGAGCGATGGAACCTAAAAAAGAGTAAATTACTATCAATTAGACAAATTTCAAACCAGATATTAAACATAAAATAAACAGAGAGACAACAAAATTCAAGTTCAAAATGAAGACATCATCTTCAAGTTTATTGACTTACAAAATCAGCCAGTAGTAATGGACGCAAAATGAAAATAATGAAAACATTCAACAATGACTTTATTGTATTGAAATGGTCAATTTGAACGCATGTTTACACATATGTGATTTTATCGGACAATTGAAATGACCGAACACAATAAAGTTTAATGTTCCCCTCTGACACTACAATAGTACTGAAATCTATACAAAATCTCTACTGGACACAAAAAGTTAAATCTCTGAATAAAGAATAGAAAAAATCAAGCAAATGAAAAGTTTGGTGATTTTATCTAATTTTCAAAAAGTTGTGTTATTATGTTTGTTAGAATGAGAGTGTGTGGAGAAAGGGCGAGATTGTACCAACAAGATAAGCGACAAACTACAGTTGTCATTATTTCATTAACTTTAATATCACACACAATGACAGTACTATACGTTAAGCATTAATTTTCATTTCATATGCAATCAAAGCACAGAAGGCGCTGAATTTGTTTGGGTCTCAGAATGTCAGAAAGGTGAAGGTTGTGAGATTATAAACCAATTTGTTTTTGTATAGTGCCACCAATGCTTTCCAGTGTTTTAACTATAGTAAATATCGGCTATAAGACTAATTGCAACACTGATAGTCAATTCAATGTTTATTTGACTTAAACAATTAAAAAAAAGGGGTGGCCTCAACTGGGATTTGAACTCCAGACCTCTCGATTCATAAGCGAGCGTGCAAACCCCTC